ACTGCGGACTAGCGCAGATTTGTGTGAAGTAATTATATTTAACTCAAGCCTTCAAAACTTGTATACCCCTTGGCAATGAAAGCCACCAATTAGATAAACAGTGAAATACTTATCAAAACAACTTGATCGTATTTGTAAAACGCTAGATCAAGTCTATCGTTAAATAACGGTAAATAAAAAAAGAAATTTAAAAACAAAATTGCATTTTTTCCTGCTGATTTAAACATGCTAAAATGTAAAATTTTATTATACCCGAGTAACCGAGTAGCAGTTTTACTAACCAGTACTCGCATCGTTCGACGATTAACCGGGTACTCGTTGACACTACTAGTTTTTTTGTTTGTTTGTTTTTTTTTTGGGGGGGGGGGGGTCAAGTTTTTAGGAGATCGATGCTTAGCCAACTATTTCAATCAGTATCTCAATGCGCTCGGAAACGACGGAGAGTTTTACAGACTTTTTTCAATGAGTTGCCATACACCCGGTAAGTCTAATTGCTTCAGCCCATACTGGTTCTATGCATTGGCGCTCGTTTCAGGAGAGTCGGGTATAGTCAGTGTAGTGTGTCTTCTTCCAAGTGTGTATGAATATCTCAGATGTTGTTCCATGTGCCATAATTGGTTGAGCTTCTTTTAATAAATTCAAGATCTACTGAAGAGAATTTTTCTAATATGACTTCCACTGGGCGGATAAAACGGTGCGTTAGAATCAGTGTCCCCTCAAAAATAGTTTTTATGTACTGAGAACGGCATGAGCAAAGACCTAATGCTTTAGGTCTAGGTACCAATGACGTTTGAAATTAAAATATATATTGTTCCCCAAAGAGTATGGAACGTCTACCCTCCCGAACTAGTCAGTCAAGTATACTTAATCTTTCCGAAGACCCTGGTAACCTTACTCTTTGTTTTCTTATATTCACACAGCGTCTAATTTTTTTCTAATATTCAAATGAAAGACCATGTACTACTTGTTAAAAATATACCAAGTAAACGATTATCGACTCGATGTAAAAAAATAAAAAAAAATTAAACACTTAATTCAATTCACATTAGTGTGTACCAAAAATACAGCTCTACTGTGCTCAATTTTGCAATTAAAATACTTCTTAATTAAAAGAACGAAGAAACTCAATTCTTGGGGCTTCGAGTGCAAGACCCACTGAGCCTAAAGGCTATCCGAAACAAGATGTGTTTGTGAAACACTGATGTCCCCGTATGGCAGCTTATGGCGAAGGTTAAAGTTTCTTAAATGCGAGTCAAACTCCAAGGTCAAGGTCAAGAGATCAAAAATGTTGTTACTCAAAGAAAGGACTTGTGTCAGTGGATATACGTGGTAAAAATGAAAGCCCAAGCACCACCATTCAAAAGTTATGGTCCAAGATAATGTTTTCTAAAAGTGGGTCAAACTCCAAGGTCAAGGTCAAAGGGTCAAAATTAATGGTACACAGGGGAAGACCCTGTAATAAGAAATACACATGCAAAATATAAAAGTCCTAACACCAACTGTTCAAAAGTTATGGCAAAGGTTAATGTTTTTCAAAAGTAGGTCAAATTCCAAGGTCAAAATTGTTCGTTTCCAAAGGAAGGTCTTGTCACAAGGAATATACCTGTGAAATTTGAAAGCCCTTGCACTAACTGTTCAAAAGTTATGGCCAAGGTTAAAGTTTTTTTTAAAAGAGGGTCAAACTTTGAGGTCAATGTCAAAAATATTCATATCCATGGAAAGGTCTTATCACGATGAATATACCTGTGAGATATGAAAGCCCTAGCACCAACTATTTAAAAGTTATGGCCAAAGGTAAAGTTGGGTATATTTTTGCAAAAGTGGGTCAAACTTAAAGGTCAAATAGGGTGAGTTAACCATGCATCGGACACATACCTTGCTTCGGACAACTTTAAGCAATCAACTTTCATTGAACCTGGGTCTCTCCGTGTTTTTAATTGTTTCTGTCTTAAAGGTGAAGAATTAAACTTTTTATTGATGCCGATCTTTATTTTCATGTTGTGATAAAAATACCACAAGAATAGCCTTGAAATTACGTCATATTTTGCATCATCAAAGGGGAGTAACCAGAATTTTACGATTTTGCAATTTTTAGAGTTGTCGTTCTTTTAAACAGACGTCAACGGAACGGGTCGGATCTTGGTAAAATTTGTCAATGATTGATAATATTACAGAAATTTTTCAAATATTTTACTTCAATGTTTCTATAATATATTTTAGAGTTGTTTTAACTAGTATGTTTATTTCACCGTACATCGGACAAAAATTAACCATGCATCGGACACTTTCCGATGCATGGGTAATCACTTTCATTTTCATGTAAAAACTCAAATGACAGCTGTTTTTTACGGAAATAGAAAATAGATATTCTAAATTTTCAGTGAAAATACAAATTATCGATATATGACGACTAGAAGTGGACTCAATTTATTTCTTTAAACTAGATGATTACATGTATAACCTACGAGACAAAGGCGCGAGTTGCCATATTACTAGCATTGTAAAGCCTTTTTAAGGCGATGTGATGCAACTAAAATCTCTTCATATTTGTGGATCGAAATAGTCATTCAAATTTAATTACAAGGTTAATTTTTAAATAAAAGATAAAAATGTTTCGATAGCACTAATTTTAAAGCACCGAGATCAAGGTATGATATTTTTCTGGTTTAAATATCGTATGTCCGATGCATGGTGAATATTGTCCGATCCATGGTGAATTCTGACTTATTTCGAAAAAATCGGTTTTTAATGATATTTTCTCAATAAATAGTGCACGATTGTGTCAAAAATTTATATTTTAACCACATACTACATGTTAAGTTCCATTTTGATAATATTCGGTCGGTAGCGATATCGCTAGAACTTGTTGAAGTGCAAGGGTGTCCGATGCATGGTGAATTCACCCTATGTTGGTACCCAAAGGAAGGTCTTGTCACAAGGAATACACTTGTGAAATATGAAAGCCATAGCTCCAAACAATCAAAAGTTATCGGCAATGTTAAAGTTGGACAAACAGACAGACAGACGGACGGACGAATAGGGCAAAAACTATATACCCCCAAATTTTCGATTACGGGGGCATAAAAAAAATAATTTTTGCATAAGAGATGAAAGGATCTTTATACTTTACATGTGCATTACCTTTTCGAATACATGTATACTGTGACTTTTGACCTCATGATCTTGCAGTATGACCAAATTTAAACTTTAGCAATACATGTAACTTTTGAATGAGAAAAGATATTGATTTCATGTTTCTTATGTGCAACACCTTTCTGAAAATACATCCTATTGTTTTTATTTTGACAGTAGATTTTGTAACTGAAGACTAGGCTTTCATATTCTTACATAAGCATTATCTGTGTCAAGATCTTTCCAAATGTACTATGATTTTTTATTACTTCATGACCTTGAAGTTTGACTTACTTTTCAAAAGAAATTAACTTGGCTGTAACTTTGCACCAGAACATATTACTTCAAAAATCTAAAACTTCCTCTTAGCATGATGGACAGACAAGACTGTTACAATTGGTCCTCAACCGATAAGACCCCGAAAGCGGGGGACCGCAATCTCTGAATTTGCTTGTTTTACTTGATACTAATAGGCTTTCGTATTTTGAATACAAAATGTGCAAATGTTCACAAAAATATGTAAGTAAGGTATTTTGTCGCCCATTCTGCAGGGTGAAAAAAGCATTGGTACATATTGTCGCCAGTGTCAATATGTACCGACGGATGAATATGTGCAATGTGGGTAGGTACATATTGTCACCCGCAACAATATTTACCGCGTGATAAAATGTATCATCATAGACCACACGAAATTGTTCACTATGGGCTTTTCGTGCATATTCGAAACACCTCTGCATGTAGACCAAGTCTCTTGATGCGGATTTATGATATTTACAGCCAAAATAAAAATTCTCATTTTTTGCACTGTAATTTTATATCCCATTTGGGATATTATATTATTTGGGCGATTGGTCCCAACCTGATGGAAGTCAAGAACGATAAATGATATCCTTTGTATACACGTAAATATTTTTCAGAAAACAGCATTCTCCCACCCAAAAACCTTGAAAGGAACAAAAAGTTTTGCTTTATTCTGAATAACTACGTGTATAAAGATTTCGGTAACAAAGGTCTTTGTAAGGAAGATGAACACTTTGGAAGAACGCATTGTGCGTGAACAAACTTGACATTTTCTTAACAAAAAAAAAAGAAAGAAAGAAAAAGAAAAAACCATAATGCATGTAACAAAGTGCTATATAACATTTTTGAGTAAGTTTTTCTATTATGTCACAAATGTAATAAGTTTTACCATATACACAGAAAAATGCTGAATTTCGACGGAAGCAGTTATAGCATACGCCGGAAACAGTTATTATTACACGCCGGAAACAGTTATAACCGTAGACGCTGGTTTCAGGATGGTGTATTTTTTTGTATTGTGTGTTTTCTATGTCTGTCCAAACACACTCATTAGAATAAAAAAAATGTAAAATATAGAGGCGTCCCGGAATTACACGGAAAATCTAGAGAGAACAAGTTTGGCGCGGTTTCTGACCTCTTTAGATTTTATATAGGTGTGAGATTCCAGGACACCTCTACATTTTACATTGTTAGAAATCGTCACTTCCGTTGCTTTTACGTTTAGGAGTGCATGTTTTATAAGGCAAGTGCAAATCGGCAAACGATAGAATGGAGTTATTCAATCATTTTTGAAGCTAGATCTCAATTGACATCGGTAGGAAAAGTTTAGATATTGATTACAATCAAGTGTGAACCGAGGCATCCCTTGGAATCCAAAATGGCAACTGATGAACCTTCCTTCTTTTTATATACAGTAAATGAATATGATTTTTTTTAAACGTGCTAATTTCAGCGATTTTTTATTTTTATTTTGATGAATGTAGTCAGACACATCTAGAAAAAAAAACATAAAACAAAAATACACCATCCTGAAACCAAGCGCCTATGATGGAATCTTGATTTTGCAGGGCAAACCTTGGAAATCTATTTTGACGTCACTTCCTGTTTGGGCTATTCTTGTGACCAATGCAGCTGGTAACTATGGTGCTTATATGCTGTTGACTCAGATTCCGACATATCTGAAAGAAGTGCTCAAGTTTAACATCAAGTCTGTAAGGATCAAGTTGTTTGACCTTTGATTTATAAAGGATAACTTGGGTTCATATACTCAGTGCGTCATTTTTAAGGATTATTTTTGGTGAAAATCTTACTTACGACATTATATTTTCTTGCTTTTCAGAATGGAAAGCATTTATATTATATTTTCTTGCTTTTCAGAATGGAATTTATTCTATGATACCATATCTAGCATTCTGGATGATGATCATTGTGGCTGGAATATTTGCAGACACACTTATTTCACGGCAAATTCTAAGCATCAAATGGACAAGAAAGCTATGCTGTGCAATAGGTAAGAAGTCTTTATTGTCTTATCAAGATATTTTTGAAGTAAAATTTTCATCCCCAAAAATATTTTCAACTAAAACGTACAAAGAAGGTGTAAATGATATATTTTTAAGCTCTGTTTTATCAGTTTGGTTAATTCTTTATTGGGATTACGTCACTTTATAGGTCATTTTGTTCCTGCAGCTTTTTTGATTGCTCTTGGTTATATGAAGTGTTTCCAGCAGGAAGCAGCCGTTTTCCTACTAACGCTGTCTCTTGCCTTCTGTGGTTTCCAGTTTCCGTCTGTTTTTGTAAACCATGGTGATATTGCTCCCAACTATGCTGGAACTATATTTGGTTTTACCAATACTGGAGCGAGTATTCCGGGGATAATTGCGCCGTACCTGGTCCCCTCCGTAACTGTTAATGTAAGTTTTACATCAGTCTTACGTCTCAAGTTTTGTAATTACTTTTCAATTAACTTCATGACCTTGATATAATATAAGTAATATATAATGACATTATGTACAAAGTGTTAACCATAACCTTGATCCAGTACCGTTTAATCAGGTGTAGTTAGGCGAAATTTATGATAGATTTTGATGGATCATTAAAACAGAAAAAATGAGGAAATAATTGTTTATCTAATATCACTAAATATATATATATATATATATATATATATATATATATATATATATATATATATATATATATATATATATATATATATATATATATATATATATATATAAGATCATATGTAAATGCAGAAAATGATACAGTTGTTAACTGTACAGTATTGATTGAGCATCACCAGAATTGATGTATAAGTAAACTGTCTGTCTGTCCATCTGATTTTCTGTCAGGACATCACAGTATTTTTTCTTATTTGAATGAAATTTAGTACACTTATATCAAGGTACATATTTCCTTGTATTTATATTGCGTTAACAATTGCGAAATGGACCTATCTTCAGAGTGTAATAAAGAGTATGTCTTTTTTTTTTAGAAAACACAACAAGGGTGGCTTGTAGCTTTCTATATTGCTGCTGTTATCTACTGTTTGGGGGCCATTTTCTTTCTGATTTTCTCCGATGGAGAAGTTCAGGAATGGGCCAAAGATAAGGAAGAAATGGAGAACTTGGAGAACATTACAGGACCACGAAAAGCTGCAGCACAAGAAAACAATGACGCTCTTAGGCATTAATAAGGGAACACAATCTATACTACTATATTAAAATAATAGACTCGAATTTTTGGCCTTTAATACCGATAAATCGGAAGAGTACTGTCTATTGTTTTATATATTTTAAATATCATTGGTACTTGAAGATTACCAATTTGTTTTTATTTTTTCTCAATTAAGCTTCGCTAATTAATAATCAACGAAAATTCCTCAAAAAATTCCGGAAATCATCTGGATTTTTTGGATTTTACAATCTTGCGCGTGCGCATTACATTCACGCTAAATCACGGTGTTCAAATCAGCAGCTTATCAGAGAAGACAAAAGTACTAAGTAGATATATATTTGTTATTTTATAATTTCTCTAATAAGAAATCTTAAATATATATGAACAGAATATATAGCAAATTTCCAATGAAAATTTACACGTATTTGTATTATCGTTTCTGAGTTTATCCATGCAAATGTGATACTGTGGCCACGTGGGTTAACATTCGCCATCTCGGAGACACATTTATTATATGTTATTTACGTCTCTGGCCATCTCAACGGAGGCAAAAACCTCATGATACCCGATTTTATTTTATCCTTCCTTTCCTTTATGCTTTTTTGAGGGGAAGGGGGGGGGGCTGTTACAACTCCAGCTAGAATCACATTTTAGTGAAGTAGGCATTCTTTTCCGCCAAAAATTACAATAACATTATTTTCATTTCTTAACTTTGAAATAAATCGAAATAATCAAATAACGTCAATGTAACCGATATTATCAATTTGAAATGTGTCTAAATGATTGCAACTTGAATTTGTTCGCCATGTTTACTATTACCTTCACTGCTGAGATTTATAACGCGGTAAATATGAAACATAAACTAAGGGCAAAGAAATATTTGATTCCATGCAAAAAAAATTCACATTATATTTCTTACGAGAGTGTAGTGAAATTAATAGCATTATTGTAGGCTTATGGCTTTGTTATGTAAATACATGACCTCTGACCCTGACGTTATATGGAAGGGACAGCCTGTTCTTCTAAATATGTACAGGTTGTCGTGGTAACTACGCTTAATAGGTAGGTTGAAGTCAGCCCTTGCGGCCCGTACAGTTCATTCTATCAATGCTGCTAAAATATCGATCATTTGCAAAGGCGTCGGAAGCAAATTGAAAGTGGGGTGGCTAAATGAAAGTGGAGGGGCTAAACCAATGAAAAAAGGTAAGCCCCAATTTTCAATACCTATACTATGTCTATCTTTGCAAAAAAAATGTTGGGGGGGGCTTAGCCCCCCCCCCCCCCCGGTTCCGACGCCTATGATTTGTAATATATAATCCATGCATAGTAAATCTCAAAACTATGAGCTGTGACAAAATTAAGATCATAAAGAATATTTATTCATTGATGAAATGAATTTTATTTAATCGTAGCAAACAAACTAACGTTTAATTAAATCGCCAAAGAAAAAATACACCAGCGTGAAAACAAGTTGTCTTCTTCAGCAGCCATGACAGTTCTCATGTGATATAATGACTTTTGATTGAAAAAGTTTAATACTGCAGAAGATTAACTTTTGTTATCACTAAACAGATATATAAATATTTATGAGGTATGTATTTTATTTTTGCTGCATTATTTACGTATGAAGTAAGAAAAATTCCCATATTCAGTTCAAGATCCGCTCCCAAATTCTCATTGGCTGTCCCAAAATAAAATCGGTCAAGGTCAGTAAACTTTAAAGTTTGGTAAACTCAGACTTTACTAAATGTTTTGAAAAAAAATATGCTTTGAATAATTACATCAAAAACATTTATTTTAAAATGTTTCTGATTACATTATATGATTTCAATTAAAAAATGGAAATGATATTGTATGATCCAAAAAGAGTTGTAACCCCCCGCCCATCCCCCCCCCCCCATGAAAAGGCTTCATTATTGCAGCAAGAAGTACTTTCAAGTTCCTACTTTCCTACTTAGGATACCCTTGGTAAATGTCCGATATGCACATGGATGCACTCATAACAATGTCAACCCGTGCACGCACGGGTCAAAGTCTAGTATTGTATAATCTTTCTTACCGTCTTTCAAGAACATGCATATAAAACTGGGTAAAATTAAAATTTAGTTTTCAAAAATATTGGGATTTCTAAAGTGGTCAATTCTTTTTGTTTATTCAGTCGTTATTGCCGTTAATGCTCTGAAATCAGTCTAGTGTAGACTAGTGTAATCTCTAAATTGTATTGCTATTATACATGTATGTGTGCTAGTTTGCTAGTTTTCTAGTTAGCTATCTGTTTTCGTCCGTCGTCGTGCAGGTGTGCGTCGTGCGTAAACTTTTCACATTTTCGACTTCTTCTCAAGAACCACTGGGCCAATTTCAACCAAACTTGCCACAAAGTATCCTTGGGTAACGGTGATTCAAATTTGTTCAAATAAAGGGCCAAGGCTTTTTCCAAGGGGAGATAATTAAGAATTAGTGAAAAATTAATGGCATCTTTTAAAAATATTCTTCTCGTGAACCACTGGGCCAAGAAATATGAAACTTATATGGAAAAATTCTCAGACAGTGTAGATTCAAGTTTGTTCAAATCATGACCCTCCGGGGTTGGGTGGGGTCACAATGTACAATCTAAGAATACATGGAAAAATCTTTAAAAATTTTCTTCTCCAGAACCGCTGGGCCAAGAAAGATGAAACTTATGTGCAAACATCCCTAGGTTGTGTAGATTCAATTTTGTTCAAATCATGACCCCCGGGGGTAGGGTGGGGCCCACAATGGACGATCAAAGTTTTACTTAGGAATACGTAGGAAAAATCTTTAAAAATCTACTTCTCCAGAACCACTGGGCCAAGAAAGATGAAACTTGTGTGCAAACATCCCCAGGTAGTGTAGATTCAAGTTTGTTCAAATCATGACCCTCTGGGGTAGGGCGAAGCCACAATGAATGATCAAAATTTTTCATGGAAATATATTGCAAAAATCTTCTTATCCAGAACAACTAGGCCAAGAAAGATGAAACTTATGTGGAAACATCATCAGGTTGTGTAGATTCAAGTTATTTTTTTAAATCGTGATCCCAGGGTGTAGGGTAGGGCCACAATGGACAATGAAAGTTTTACGTTGGAATACATAGGAAAAATCTTGAAAAAAAATTCTGTTCTCAAAAACACCAAAACCATGATTGGTTATATTTACATGGAAGCATCCTCAGATAGTATAGATTCAGGTTTGTTCAGATCATGACTCTGGGGATAGAGTGGGGCCACAATGGATGATCAAAGATTTACACATGAATACATACGAAAAATCTTTAACAATCTTCTTCTCAAGAATAGCAAAGCCATGATTTGTCTTATTTATATGCAAGCATCTTTGGGTAATGTTAATTCAAATTTGTTCATATCTTGACCCCCTGGGGTAGGGAGGGGGGCACAACAGATGATCAAAGTTTTTTAGTTAGGAATTTATAGGAAAGATCAAATCTTCTCAAAAACAACAAAACCATGATAAGTCATTTTAATATAATTTAATTTTGGTTGTAACATGTCATTTGATTGGATAAAAAATTGATTTATATTGTATAACCTGGGTTTTTTTTTTTGTAGCTTTCAATTTATATTTCATGGATCTTCTATGAATTGTTGTTTTATACTCAGGTGACCGTTAAGGCCCTTGGGCCTCTTGTTTATGTATTTTTGTGACTTAGGGATCACTTTACCCTTCATCTGTCTGTCACACCGTGTATCTCAAGAACTGTAAGAGATATGGATTTGATATTTTGCACTTATATTGCTTGACACTATGGCTTTTATGAATTGCCATGGTTACCGACCTCATTACCCTTGACCTTTGAACTACTTTACTGTTGATAAATAGCATTTATACATATTTATGAGCTCATGATACTCAACTTTAAAACTGTATGATAATCTGTTACCACACAAACTGATATTTAAACTATGAAAATACATCGGGATCGGTATCCCACAATGGATTGTGTAGACTCACAATTGGAGTGAGTTTGAAACATGTCTTAATACATGTAAAAAAAAAATTAAAAAAAAAAAAGATAAATAATTATTCATAATAATTTCAATTTAATTATTCATTTGAGGGTTTGGAATAATATTTTCTTTGATTGTCAAATTGTATCGCAGTCTTATACGTGGATGCTTTATTTCTGCATGAACTATCATGCTAGTAGTAAATAAATAGCTAAATACACTTAGATTTATTTACATCTTTAATGAAGCTACAAAGTAGGCGACACATGAGTTCCTTGGAACACTGTAGTTTTTCTAGTCATTGCACTGTGATACCATTTAAGTAAAATCCATTTACAATTAAGAATTGTGTGTAGGTGTGTCTGTTTAGGTGCTAGGACTAATAGCTGGAATTTTCACACCTTTTTACAAGGCAATTCAAATGCTAAACGTCATTGTACATGTACAAGTATCATCCTTTATATCCATATCAGCCAATCACAAACGATTAAAATACAGAAAAAACACTGAGAATCCCAAAACTAACAACCAATCATAAACGAGCAACACAAAGGAAAAACACTGAGAATCCATAACTAACAGCCAATCATAAACAAGCAACCTAAATTAAAAACAATTCAACAAGAATGTGGCTAAATTTTTTAACCTGTAGTAATACTTATTTTCTTCTTAAAAGCCCAAGATAATAACCAGAAAAAGAGCAGTTATAATTATAGACATGTGCTATTTTACTTTTTTATAGCAACTCAGAGTTCTAGCATCTTCTCAGCAATGATGTTGGAGTTTCTTAAATTTCGTATCATCAGGGAATTAAAGCTGTTACTGTTTTTTGTTTGTAGTGATTTGTTTGATACCTGTTATAGGTATGTTTTGTGATAAATGTACAGATTATTTTTCATTTGTATTAAAATTATTGAAAGATATTTTAATTTTATGTTGTGTCTTGGTGCTTTAGTTTGTCAAAAACAAATCAATCAGTCAAGGAGAAGAGGAAATTTGGATGACAACAAATGCCGCATAACAGAAATGTGAATATAC